CCTTTCCTGTTGACTGATAATTTTAAATCACCAAAGAGTACCATTGTTGTATAATTGGTCTATTATTGTAGCTTGTTGTAATTTGAGTAGATCAGATATGTAGGGTTAGTAAATGTCTTTTTTTTTTTTTGCATCCTTTCGTTGTTGATTACAGATTAGAATAGGCCAAATAGAAAGAATCCTGTGAAAATCCTGTATACCTCTTGCACTTCTACAAATATTGTATATTATATCCTTGTAATATAAGGCAGCTGGAGTACTCTATCTGGATAATGGTAATTGTATATATAAATGATCCACTACATTCCTATTTGGTTTGCTGAATCAAAATAAAATTGTAATTGTCATCTATGCTGATTGGAATTATAGTCTGTTTAAATGCTATTATGTGTCAAGATAACAGTCTATACACCAGTAATGAGGAATCTATGCCACACATGTCAAAGGTGACAATTTTGTATCAATTTTTGATACACCAATCCCAAAAGGTTTGTCATCATTGCTATACAATCAGTATAGTGCTAATATCCTTGGTGAGAAAGACAAGCCTCTCTACTCCAACATAAGAGTCTGTGTGGTCAGCCAGTCAGTAGACTTATGAGAGATCAGCAAGCAGGAGTTATAAAAAGCACTCTTAACAATGATGTTCATATCAAGATTATTTGTAATGTAGAAGAGGGCCTGAGTGGAAAATGCCTTTGCCTACCTATTAACTAACATTTCCTGTTTTAGCAATGTAGCTCAGCCACATCCTCTCACCGTATCTATGACAACTTGTGCATCCTGAAAATATAGGTTGTGGTTATGGTGGCTATTGAGTGTGCTTTCTTGACTTTTTGGTCTACATGACTTTGGAAGGCTGAACTTAATACATTTCCATTAATTCTTTTTAGCCACACTAGAAGTTCCATTTCAAGATTTCCTGCAAAGAATTGTGAAACCACCGTCTGATGAAATGCAGACAGCCTTATAGAGAACTCTAAGCTTCTCTCTCCTAACTGCAAATCTATTATTTTCAGAACCCCTGAAAAAGAAAATATGTGTGTATGTGCCCATGGTTTGAGATAAGGAAGATGGGAGTATACAAGCCATAACCCACAGCAAGCAGGAATTAATGTGGGCACTCTTAACAGTGAAATATAGAGCAAGATTGTCTTTAATGTGAGAAGAGCCACTTAAACATCTCTCTCTCTCACACACACACACACACTTTTTGGCAGCCACTGGAATTTTCCCAAGACTGTCTCATTGAGATTATGAGAGCAGGGTTTTCTGTCCTTGAGGTGAAGATAAGCTGTAAATCATGATGAAAATAAGTAGTAAATTGAGATTTTTAAATTCCTGATGCTCCTGTTTTACTGTCCTTAAAAAAACCCCACTATTTTTGAAGCCTCCTGCCCTCCAGAGATGGGATATGTCACCACTGTTTCCCCCTAGTCTTACAGGCTGAAAAAGATAAAGGGATGCGAGTGTGAGAGAAAAGAGGCATGATTTCCAATTATAAAAAGATTCTTGCTTCAAGTTGGTGCAAAACATACCAAGGCAAAAAAACTCTCATTACAGGCATGATTAATTTCTTGTAATACCTTCATAGGTGTAAATGGGAAGGGAGATAAATAGGATTAAAATGACAAAAGCCCTACCCCTTTAATGGAATGGAACGGAATAGAATGGAACAGAACAGAACAACAGAACAGAATAGAATAGAATATTTGGCCAAGCGTGAATAGACACATAAGGAATTTGTCTCACAGTGTACATGCAAAGCAACAGAATAATAATCATAGTAATAATACCACCAATAAGAGGTGATAGTAAAGAAGATAAGAAGGATAATAATACTACAGCCATACTACATGAGTAAATCTACATAGACATTAGATGGGACTATGAGAATTAGATGTTCAGCAGATTGATCTCTGTGTCTAGCTGTTTTGGCATGCAATGTCGTGTGGCAGCATCCCAAAGGGAGGCATTGAAACAGTTTATGTCCAGGATGTGAGGGGTGTGTAGATATTTTCTTAGCTCTCTTCTATAGAAAGCAGGCCAGTTGCCTTCTAGTTCTTTCTGCAGTCTTAATTATCCATTGGAGTCTGTATATATCTTGTTTGGTTGCTGTACCAAACCAGACAGTATGTATTTTTAATATTTTAATATGCATTATATCTATCACATATAAAAAGGGGTGGGGCTTTAATCATGCAGTTCTGCTCACCATTTTGATACTGTTGACCCCACCCCAGATATCCCTCACACTTGCTTCAATTCTGTTAGCAAGCTCAAAACTCATTTAAAATGCAACCATCAACTAGGTTCTTTCCTGTTATCTGAACACCCAAGATGTTGAAGAAGGGAGTCATGCTACATTTCATTTCGGAGGGAAAGACAGGTTGTTTTTAATGTGATACTGTTTCTGAGAAAAATATTTGCACTGTTCAGCCTACCCAAGACCCAAGCAGTGGATCCTCTAGTGACTCAGTTCTTCCCTGACCTTTAGTATGCAGATGTTCTAGTATTCCAACATCTGTCAGCACTAAAACAAATACGATGGCTTGATCTACACTGAAATCTAAATCAATCCTATGAAGGCAAGAGAAGCCAAAGACAGGTATACTTTTATTATATTTATAATAGGGAAGACTAAATAGACAGAATTCCCATACTGTATTTATGATCTACTGTACCGTTTTTCCAAAGAACTCAGGATAATTTCATTTCACCTTCAGTGCCTGGGTTAATAATCTAGGCTAAGCTACAGAGAAGCAAATCGCTTGGGGCTTTGTGCATCATAGGAACTCAGAAGTGAGGTCATAGCAGAAAAGAAGTACAGCCCTCTGACTCAGAGAACAGCTTCCTCACCCTTTCCGGTTGAAGAACATTTTGTATGCATATGTGCTTCATATTAAAGATGCTTGAACTTGGCTCTTTAAAAGGCAGCCTGAAGATCACACCTCCCCCCCTTCTATTGGATGGTTCTTACTGGATAAATCTCTGCCTCTTTCTCTCTTTTCCATTCTAATTGCCTCACGGCTTTCTCTGCTGCTCCATAGAGAGTCTGTGTGCAACTTCCTACCAAAATAATGTGGCAACAAGAGGGTGGCTCCAGATCTTCCCCCGCTAGAAACCCTTGCCTTTAGCCCGAAGGAGGTTCCAGCAAGGACTTTCCTTCTCTTTTTAAATCAACTGCTCCTTCTCTGTAGAAAAAAAAGGAAGCTGACATTAACATGTCTTTTTAGTTGAAATCAATATTTACAGTATCTGATCCTGACACAATTTGTTTAAATACAGTCAACATGTGTGTCCTACCTGAATATGATTTTTTAAATATCTTCAAGATATTTACTATTAGCATACAAATGCTATTACTCAGATTTATTCAAATATAGCTAAATGTTTGTTTCAATGTAACTTTTAGTCATATATTATGTTATTCAATTTTTTTTCAGTTTCATAGCATTGTTTTGTCCATCAAAAGTTAGTATTTTGTACCTCTAGAATTTTTGTTCTACGGAGCACAATGAATTTGAGATCTGTGTTTGTAGTGTTGCTGTTGGGAATTTGTTTTGTTTTGTGATCAAAAGCCTGTAGTAAGCCAGTAGTAAGCTAGACTTCTATTAACCCTTCTCGCAACATTTGATTGAAATGATTTTCAAGATGAGGATGTAAAATGGACATAGATTTGAGCCAAAATATGTTTGACAGGAATTTATTTCCCTGGGCAGCACTGACCTAATTCATCCTGGAAAGCACACTTCAGAAAGAGAGAGGAAAGGGGGGCTGGGCAGAACATGCAGTGGAGAATCATGATAGTTAATGAATCAGTTCTCCTATCACAGTGATGGTGAACCTTTTAGAGACCGAGTGGCCAAACTGCAACCCAAAACCCACTTATGCATCGTTGGGTGCCGGGTGGGTGTGGCCATTGGCTGGGTATGGCCCATTGGGTGGGCATGGCTGCAGTGGTAATGGCAGACTGGGTGGGACTAAAAAGTTCAACCAATCAGTTCCAACTTTGCAAGATCTTTTTTTTTTCCCGCAAGAAGTTGAAATTGACTGATTGATTGAACCTTTTTTTTTTTTTGCATATGGCGGAAGACCTAAAGCGAAAAGGTTTTATAAAACCCAGCTGAAGGCCTAGGACTGGGGCGACGGTGTGCGTGCCCACAGAGAGGGCTCTGAGTGCCACCTCTGGCACCCGTGCCATAGGTTCGCCACCACTGTCCTATCAGTTTCTCTGCTCTTAAGTTAGGCTATTTGATCTGCTGGAGTAAACTGGGGGAGGAATGGAAATTACTCAAAAGGAAGACTGAGGCATCTGCAAATGCCATGTCTCCACATTAACCTATTTATGCTTTGAACTGGTGTGTTTGTGTGTGTGCCTATGTGGCGATAATCATAGAACTATTCTGGATGCAAGTTTATGCAAACACCTGTCCACAGAAGAAGCGTATTTTTTAAACCTGAGGAATAACCAATTTCAAACCAGATTTTCGTCAAGGGGAAAAGGGATGCATTTTCAGAGGACAATCAACCGGCAAAATGAGCACTTCTGTAGCTTATGCTTTGAGCAGGTATTGGACTAATACTTCAAATCATATTTTCTCTTCAGCTAGCCTCTCTCTCCTTTATAGCAGAGGTGGGGAACTATGGGCCCTTTATGACTTGTGGACTTCAATGCCCAGAGTTCAAAAACAGGCTCTATAGCAGTGTTTCTCAACCTTGACAATTTTAAGGCATGTGGACTTCAACTCCCAGAATTCCACAGCCAGCATTGCTGGCTGTGGAATTCTGGGAGTTGAAGTCCACATGCTTTAAAATTGTCAAGGTTGAGAAACACTGCTCTATAGGAATGGATTTAATTGGAGCCCTCATGAAGGGTAATAATGTCTTGCAAGATTTTTTTTTTCACTGTGGGAAAGTATAGTGGGGAACATTATGGCCTTACAGGAAATTTAGAGATATGCCCTAAAAGTTTTGCCTTTTCTCTCCTCCATATGCAGTCAAGATCATCACCGCGTTGAGCTCATCCGACACCGTGAAACCAAATGGCTGGAAATGACAGCTCACTGGGAGAAAACCATGGCCCGGCGCTATAGGAAGGTAAGACGGTATCTAGCATTTTCTTTAAATGGTGATTTCAGCACATCTTTTCCTCAGAGTCTTTAGAGACCCTATTATAATCTCAAGGGATGTTCAAAAAGTAATGTGCATTTGACATATTATATCAAATGACAGTTTGTTTAACCATGATTTATTGAATAAATAGCAAATGGTTAACTTCAGGAACAAAGTCGAGACCAAATATATTATACTGTGACATGGCATAACATCTGAAACTTATCAGAAGCTTTCCCTTATCTCTCTTTTGCACATACCAACCCCAAACAGAAACAGTCCAAACAGAACAATATAACGCGTTCCAAGATGCCAACTTTTTGTAACCAATGTTTGCAGTTTCCTTGAAATATTAATATTACAGCTTCCAATTCAATTGATATTTGCCAATACAACGCAGTATAAACTGATATTAAATTAAAAGGCCTGATGTTAAAAGCCCAGGGAAAAAAAATAAAAGATCTTTGCACGAAACCAAAAGGACAGAAAGTTAGGAAGACCATTCCAACAAGTAGATACTAAAACTGAGAAGTCTTCTTCCTGCATCAACCTTATGTCAGGTGAGCATGAATTACTCCAAGATAGATGTTCAAAGGCAAGCTTAACCGATGAGCAAATTCACATGAAAGATGAATAATCATTTTTGGCACAAAAGACCTTTTAACATTATGAGGCTTTTGAATCCTTCATATATTAATTGGATTGTGAAACTTGGCATTTGCTTTTAATTCTTTTGAATTTTGTCTTAATTACTGTTTAATATTGTGATCCTAAAATCTGTTCAAGGATCCAAATCTTTATCAAGGCTACCCAAGGTTACAAAATACTTTCGAGATTAACCTACTAAAGATATTGCCCTAATATGATTTCTGGAACTTTTTGTGTGACCAAAATAGCTTAGTATTTTGTATATTCTCTTGGGAAGCAGTTGGGAAAAAAACTATTTAGGGCAATAAAATTGTTTAGAAGGCAAGCAATGATAGATAGATGACAGACAGATAGACAGACGTGTGTGTGTGTGTGTGTGTGTGTGTGTGTGTGTGTGTGAGAGAGAGAGAGAGAGAGAGAGAGAGAGAGGGAGGGAGGGAGGGAGGGGGAGGGAGAGGGAAGGAGGGAGGGAGAGAGATGTAGGTAAGAATATGGATAATAGAAAATGTCATGTTCACTTCTGGAAGCCACAATGTCTTGGACATTTACTAGGAAAACTGAAAATGCAGATTCAAACAGCAGACTGCCCCTAATTTTTTTTACACCAATAGATATATTGTTTTCCAAATATTGTTGACTGCAATTCCACTATGTTTAATCACTGGCCATTCTGGCTACAGCAGGGAACAGTTCAGCAACATCCAGAGGACCATCCATATGTTACTCCTCCATGCTGTAGTATGAAGCCAACCAGAAAAGGCTAAATTGGTGATATGCATGGCAGTGACACTCCCATCTTGGAAGTCCTGAGCTTCAGCTCTTTAACTCCCATCCAATCCATTATTGGTTGCACACATCAGTTTACTCTTTGTAATGTTGCCCCAACTGAAACAGATAAAGAAAGAGTTTATTGATATGCTGATGATGGCCAATCACTGTTTAAAATTCCCTGGCAATTATCATAGATTTAGGTAGATATTTTATAAAAATGGAGAAAAAGCTGAATCCTTCTTGCTGTCTGTGGCCCAAATCTTGGCTAGCTATAGAGACAAGAGGTATTGGGATTCTTTCTAAGAGTGGGTTCTATACAGGATCATTATGCACTTAATTTATATGGTTTATAACGACTCAGGTAAAGCTGCTGTGCCGAAAAGGAATCCCTTCCTCTTTACGTGCACGTTGTTGGCCTCTGTTGTGTGGAGGACAGACCAAAATGGAGAGGAGCCCTGGAAAGTACCAGGTAAGCCTGCATCTTATAGAACTTATTCTAGCCTTTGAGGCAGAAGATATTCCATGTGTGTTAAAAGTATTTGGATTGGAAATGTTCTATTATTACATCAGCCAATAGGACAATTGCCTCTTCTGCTATTCCCCTTATCATTTCCATCTGTGCCATCTATATCAATTAACTGGCAAATCAACTTGGTTGTCTATGACATTCTCAAGAATTCAAAAATACTGTCTTGCTTCTTCAAAAATCAATTTTCACTTCCATAGAGTACTGCATGGAAAACTACTGTCTGCATAGTTCCTGATCTTTATGGCCATAGATATATCACATCTGAATATTCATTTGTACCCTACCAAGAGGTAGTATTTCTTGATTGCTGGTTCCTTTTTGTTCAATAACTGATCCTAACAGTTCAGTGTCATTTCTAAAGCTGGCCGTTGTACCTGTTGTTATTGGTCTGCTCTTTTTTATATTTAACAATAGACCTATTTTTTCCACTCTGCTCCCGGCCACATATTTGCTTTTGCCATGTAACTGAGCCCGTGCACTTCCTTGTACCAATAAAATAATCAATTTTATTTCTGTGCGCTCCATCTGATAATGTCTCTGTCTCTGTCTCTCTCTCCCTCTCTCTCTGTGTATACATATACGTACATATACCCACACACATACACACACATAAACATACACATACATACACATACACACATACATATATGCATCATTTTTGAAGACTGTGTTTGCAATAAAGGGGTCATTGGATTGATGGAAACTAATAAACCATTTTCCTGCTTCATTTCTGTTTCTTAGATCATACAGTTCAACTACATTTTCCTCCTTACTATTTTCAGTTGTGGCATTCCAGTCTCCAACCATATCTTGCTGGCATGATTTTCAATTTCATATTGAAACTGACTGTAAAACCCATCAACTTCTTCATCATGTGTTAAGATTCGAGGGATAAACTTGGATAACTGTTATTTTAAAGAGTTGCCCATTGCTTTTTATTGATATTGATATTATTTGATTACATTGTATCCAAGTAATACCTTTGCTGTATCCTTCCTGACTATAACAGCAACATCATTCCTTCCTTGTTTTTTATATCTTGTAGCAAACAATATGATTTTTCGGTTGAAAGTGTTTCATTCCAATCCATTTCAATTAGCTGATGCAGAAGATGACAATGTGCAGTCCATTTTTACTTTCATTTTTCTGTTTTCCTCATTTTTACATTCCATGTTGCAAAGTACAGTGATTCTGTCTTTCAGCTTTTGATTCTCCCCCCCTCCCCCGCATGTCAACATCAGCAACTAGATGTCTGGAAGGCTTTAATTTAGCCACATGATATCATAAACACTATTAATATACTGAAAAATCTTCAGCTGTCGCTTAGTAGATATTGAGCACCTGAAGAGCACATCATCTGGCACTGTATTATCAATCGCTTTATTGTGTTTATCTGTGGGGGTTTTCGTTAACAACATATAAAGAAGGGGGTATTGTTGGGAAAGAGTTATACAAATATGGGGCCACTACTGATAGAGGCCTGGTTGCTGTTGCAGGAATTGCTTGAGGTACCTGGTGATCCTCAGTGGGTGGAGACTATCACAAAGGACATTCACCGCCAATTCCCTTTCCATGAGATGTTCCTGTCTCCTGAAGGTCCTGGGTGAGTGGGATACAGTATGCAGAGTGGAATTTTTTGAGTAAATTATTATTTGTTCTGAAATAATACAGGCTGAAATATACAGAATAGTTGTCTGAAGAACTTTTCAGTCCACCATATTTGTTTTATGGAAAATAAATAATATTTAACTAAAATATAAAAATGCTTCATATACTGCCTCTTTTAATTTTTTCTTATTTTTATGTCTAATGTTTTGTGGATAAAAAAAATCAAAACAATTCCAAATCTAAATTGTAACATGCTTATGTGTTGTTCTATATGTTGTATAATAGCATCAGATCCGTGAATAGGTTTTTTTGAGAATTACAAGGCTCCCTGCTTCACTCAAATTTAACTTTAATTTTTAAAAAATAAAAAGGAAGTTAGCATTCTGCAGAACAAAGGGCTAACTTCTCTAGATCCCATTAGCATTTGTAGAAAATAAAAGCAGTGGGTAGCCATGGGCTATTGCAGTGATGGCGAATCTTTTAGAGACCAAGTGCCCAAAAACTGCCCCACCCCCACACTGCACTGCCCCCGCTCCAGCCCTGCCCCACCCCCACCCACCCGCAGGACCACCCACCATCTCCATGGCCCGCCACAGATCACCCAGGTGGCCCAGCAGCGCCATGGTGGCCACAGCCTCCAACTGTGCCACCACAGCATCATCGGTTTGCAATGGGGCACAAGGGTGGAGTCTTATCCCCACTGCCCAACTGCCATGTCCTTGGCTGCGCTGCTCCAGGTGGGCCGTGCCTGGGGGCGACTCTCCTCCGGGGGTGCTGCTGGTGTGGAGGGGGCTGTGGGGGGAGGTGAGGCTGGGGCAATGACGTGTGCTCACAGAGAGGGCTCCTAGTGCCACCTCTGGCACTCGTGCCACAGGTTCGCCACCATTGGGCTATTGCTTGCTTGGAAAAATACCTATCTGACCAGGAAAAAGACCAAAAGAAGCCAGAATTGGGAAGATTCAGTAGAAGGCTAAAGAGATGATGGGAAACAATTTCCCATGCAGAACATGGTATTATGGCACTCATTTGGTGAAAAGTCAAATTCTTCCATGCTCATCTTATTATAATAGTGCACTGTGCATGCTCCAAAAATTATATATGGTCACTGCCTTGTAAAGTGTACCTATCTCTGTCTAAGGAAGGGAAGGGATTTTGGATTGATACAAGAAGCAAGACTTCCTTCACTGAATATTTTCATGTAGAGGCTAGATAATAATCTGCCAGGGGTGCTTTCAGTTGGATGATTGTTTTGATGACTGAAGTGGACCTTTCCCTAACTGTGTCCCCACAATTCTTCACCACATCTTCTGAAAAACTATGCAGCATGGATAAAGACTGGCGCTCCTAACTCTGAGTTGTGTGTATGTAAGGCTTAATGGGTTATCCAAACTCAGTCTTTGTGTGGTTAATAGTTCAATGTGCTGTGTGACCTTAGAAAATGAATTAACTCAGTAACCACACTGAGTGTATTGCATGATTACAGACTATAATTCTTTATAATTAGCATGACTGATTCCATTTCCAACTTTAACTTGGCTAACCCCAAGTTGGAATTTTCCAGATGTACTGGGATACTACTTGAATAATCCCAGCCAGTTGGTTGGAACCTAGTTTATATGGGAAACCTATGAATCTATGGAAAGTGGACAATCCTACCATGTAGACTGATCATTTGCCCCATGGAAGAGTGTTGGGGAAGAGTAAGCCCATTTACATATTCTGAGACTGAGCAAAAGGTTGAATCCCACTGGCAAAGGCACAGCACAGAGTTCTACTTAAAAGCAGAACAAAGCTGAGCTGGATTACTTTTATTGAATTGGATAGGATCTGGTGAACCCAAGGCAAGGATGTTACCATGGCTTCCTCAAGCCTTCTGTGATCTCTATTCCCTTATAGACAGCAGGGGCTGTTGCAGCTGCTGAAAGCCTACACTGTCTATCGGCCCCAAGAAGGTTATTGTCAAGCTCAAGGACCAGTGGGTGCCTTGCTTCTCATGCACATGCCACCAGAGGTGAGTCTCAGGCAAAGCCATTCACCCTTACACTTATCACTATGGTTATTGGATTGATTGACTAAATGATCAAACAAAATATATGATCCAGTCCAATCTGAAAAAAATCTGGGTAGGGTGTAAGACCATATAACATTAAAATACTTCCCAAATAGAAAATTGATGGGGTTGAACCCAATTCCCAAAGTTCCTGAGAAACCAGATTGCTTCTACTGCCCTTCAACGTTAAAAGATAAATGACAGTGGTGTCTGCAGTTGGGGTCAAAAAAGATGCAGCTAGTCCAGAGGGTGCAGTTTTGGATCGGTCTGTTTTTATATGCATTGCCACAAATAAAAATTGGCAGAAATTTGACTGCACCATCATGACCTCCTGACTGCATCTTGACTTTTTTTTTTATGTACCCTTTGAAGATCCCTGAGAGAAACCAGGTGGCATCCCTCTGATTTTCCAAACCCTCTCTAGAATTTCAGGCAAGACGGGCAGGATCAGATTTTTCACCCCTTTTATCTTTCCTACATCAAAGTTATTCCATGCTAGATCCTCTCTATCAGCTGCTACTGTTTATCTTCCTTGATGGCTGCCTATTTATTTTTTCCAGCAAGCTTTCTGGTGCCTGGTACAGATCTGCGACCACTATCTGCCTGGTTACTACAGCCCCGAAATGGTGAGACATTTAGGGAAGAAGGGAAATCCAACAAACTGGAGTGGGACACCAGTTCTTAAGGCCTCTCTTTAGGGTTGAGTTAAAGTTCCATCCACCAATTTTTAATAGCAGAAACTATATTGAGATATTTTTTTCTGTCCCCACTGCTAATGCTTATCCTTCTTTCACAGCCTCTATTCCAGCTTGTTGCCAAATGGTGCCATCCTTTTAATCAAAATATCTGCAGGGTTTTGAAAATGAAGTCATGGGTTCAGACTTTGGTGCCCATCTTTTCTTCTCAACAATAGCAGCAGCCAGGAAAACAATGATGGGCAGGAGTGAGGATTTGACATGTGCTACCTGCTGGCTTGTGCTGGTTCATCAAATGCTGATCAGCTTTTAACAATCTGGCCCTTCAACTCTTGTTGAGAAGAATCCACTTAGCTTCTTATGATGTTTTCCATAAGGTTCCAGGGTGGTAGTTGCTAGAAAAAATGATTTATTAGGTTCCTTTGTTGAAAGCAACATCCTAGGCAGAATGTTCTCCAGCTGGAGATGATATTAATTATCACTGATTGGGGAGAAGAATGGAACCCCTAACATATCCCTCTTTCAATCTCTCTCTGGTTTTAATTAAGCAAAACAGGCATGTAATTAGAAGACTTTTGGAAGTATGGGACTTTGAAAGAGCAGCTCTTTCCAGATCTGGCATCTCAACAAGCCTACTGATCAGCTGCTCGCATCTTGTTCCACATAGTGCCTGGGAACCAAGGGGGGGGCAATAGAACTGCATTTTTATTTATTATTTTGAGCATTTTGAATATTCTATTTTAAATAGCTAGATTAAAGGCAAAAAGTTCAAGTGGTACAACTTCATATTTGACTCACATAAAGGCAGATTCACCCATGAAATTAAAGCCTAAAGCTCAAGAATTGTGCCAGGTGAGGATGGCAAGCAAGACTGTAATGCAGGGGTCTCCAAACTCGGCAACTTAAGGCTTGTGGTCTTTAAATCCCAGAGTTCCCCAGGCAGCATAGCTGGCTGAGGAACCCTGGGAATTGAAGTCCACTAGTCTCAAAGCTGCCACATTTTGAGACCCTCTACTGTAGTGGATGGATGAAACTGCAGGATGGAAGGATGGAAGTTTCAGAATTCCCTCCTGGAAGTGCTTTGTGTCTTCATACCCTGGCCTTCACACTCTGTCTATTCCAGTGTTTCTCAACCTTGACAATTTTAAGGCATGTGGACTTCAACTCCCAGAATTCCACAGCCAGCATTGCTGGCTGTGGAATTCTGGGAGTTGAAGTTCACGTGCCTTAAAATTGTCAAGGTTGAGAAACACTGGACTCTATTCTGTTCTGGGATAATGGCTTAGTAGTTCCTACTGCTACTACACTATCTTCCAGGGGCCATTTCACAAATTATTCTTCTCTTAACACTTCCTGTAACCTTAACTGGGCTTTCTCAGCCTTGTTCTCTTTCTGATGATAGAAAGATCACAATGCAAAAAGTGAAATTATTTTCCTAATGCCATTTCCTGACTATAGCATGGAGGCACGTGACTTGAAGATTCAGCCATTGCTTGGTAAATAGGCCATTTTCACGTCATAAAGGACATAAAATTTATTTTAAATAAAATCTTCAATTTTAGATATTAAAAAGAAAATAGTCAAATGGCCACTATTTAAAGCCTGATATCACAGCTGCCAAAAGGAAATGACAAATGAAAATGCAGTACTCAAGTCAAATCATAAGATATCACTGGTCTGCTACAAATGATGTGTTCTCCCTATGACGTGGTTTATATTGCAACATAAGTTTACAGAGGCAAGAAGAGTCTAATTCAGTGATTCTCAACCTTTCTAATGCCGTGACCCCATACAGTTCCCCATGTTGTGGTGACCCCCAAGTGGGTGTGGCCACCAATAAGAGGGAGTAGGACAGCTAGGGAAAAGGGAAAAAAATGGCGGACAGCATGGTTTGGCAATCCCCGTGAAATGGTCATTTGACCCCAAATGGGGTCCCGACCCACAGGTTGAGAACCACTGGTCTAATTAAAATCTCCATGTCCATCCAGAAGGCTACATGCAGGCTGAAGTTTAAACATCCTATTCTATCATTTACAGAAAAATAAAGAAAAAGTAATTCAGTGTTTTAATACCCAGCTTGCATTCACACTGTCAAAATTTTTATCGATTGTAAACAAATAGTTATAAGTCGAGGACGGGTGAGAGTAGGAAGGTGAGAGTATCAGAAGAGACTATTTGATTAAATGATGTAGCTGCATCTTTTTCCTGCAGGAGGCGCTGGTGCTAGACAGTGAAATTTTTACGGCTCTCCTCCATCGTGTGTGTCCCAAGGCCTTTAAGCACTTGCAGAAGCATGGGGTGGGGCCTTTGATGTACATGCCTGAGTGGTTCCTGTGCCTCTTTGCCCGCACGCTGCCCTTCCCCACAGTGTTGAGAGTCTGGGACGCCTTCCTGAGTGAGGGTGAGTGAGTGAGGGCAATGAGCACTTGGGGATTTGTAAGTCTGGACTGAGACAAGAAGCAGAATCATATTGCAGAACTTTGCAAGGCGACAACTGATGGCATGAGGTGACTGGGAGAATGAATTGCTAGAGTTTAACTCTACAGATGCAGGAGGCTAAAATGAAAAACAATGGCAGGAGAGTCGGAACAACCTTCCTTTTAGGAAGAGGTATCTTCTAGGAATAAAGGAAGAGATTAAAATCTTTCTGAAGTAAATTTAAGAAGAAATAGGATATTGGACGGAGAAGGACAGGGATACAGGGATGGTCATGATTTGGATCCAAGATGGACAATATTATGATGGACTCACACTTAAGATCTTTTGAAAGAGCAAAGTAGAGATGTTGCTCAGTAGGCAGAGTTTTGCTCTTGTGATTTCACAGAGACAGGACATTCTGTTTTTTTTTCTACATTTTGGAATGGAGGTATTCCAAAATCATTAAGCAAGATCATGTATGATAATTATTTAGATGAAGAACTACTAGGGAATTCGAGGGCTGTAAAATAGATAAAATGGGGAGTTGAAAAAACATTCAGGAAAAAGATACTAGCAGTGTTTCTCAACCTTGACAATTTTAAGGCATGTGGATTTCAACTCCCAGAATTCCACAGCCAGCATTGCTGGCTATGGGATTCTGGGAGCTGAAGTCCATATGCCTTAAACTAGCATATTGTTAGCTATGCCATATAATTGCCAAGAAAAGCTTATGGACAAATCCAAGAAGTGACCAAAAATCCAATGTTCTGCAGGGACTTTTTTGAGGTTTTCTCATTTTTATGTTATTTTAGGGCTTGTACTACATTTTTTAAGTGTTTCCACGTCAAAATAATAGGAAACATATGCTGATTTTCAGGAGCTATAGTTGAAGGACATACTTGAGATCCTGAATTTTTTTTTATCAGATTACTCAATCTTATTTTAGAGGGCCAGTCATCCCCAGCCTTCTATAAGTTCTGAGACTGTAACTCCCAGAATTCTCTGTGAGTGTGGGCAAAGAGTGGGGATTTTGGGAATTATAGTTCTACATTAGCTGCAATACTCTGAGTAAGCAGGATAGCTTGGTATCAAAGAATGACTTCAGTAAATTCATTTACCAGCATTTTGGGGAAGAAATTTGAAACACTAATTCTGCTTTCCTGGAGTTCTCAGATTATCCAGAAACCATAAGCATCACTATTGTTCAATGGAAGAACATCCAATTTGAATCCCAACACTTCCAGCCAACATGAAACCTGAAAGATGTTGCTGCTTGTCCAAATAGGCCTGGCTAGATGATTGGGGAAGAGTGTACAAGAGTGCTTGTCATGAGCTCAGCTGCTCTGGATCCTGTCCTGGCTTTCTCCCACAGGGGTCAAGGTGTTGTTTCGTGTCGGTCTGCTGTTAGTCCGCCTAGCCCTGGGCTCCTCTGAAAAACTACGTGGCTGTTCAGGATTGGTGGAGACACTGGAGAAGCTACGCAACATCCCATCTCAGTTTCTGCAAGAAGACAGCTTCATGGCTGAGGTAGAAACTACAAAAACTTCCTGTCTGGTGAAGCAGCTCCCTTTTGTGTTTCTTTCTAGCCACAATCAACTATTTTTGGTGTACAGGCATATGAGACCTGCAAAAGATGATTACAGTGATAATTGGGAGTTTTTGTGAAAGTGTAGGAACTCTCAAGTATTTGCCTCTGGTGTTTAACAGTACACAAGGAAGGCATACATTGTGTCTTTGTGTAAAGAGTGGGATGTTAAAAGACAGAAAAGAATGTATGTTCCAAAGGTGTTTTTTCCCAAAAGCAACTGGATTTTCTTGGGTTTTTTTCCTCATTCAAGAAGCTTCTTCAGTTCTAACTGACTGGAGGGGAATGGAAAGATTATATTCTTTGCCTTTTGAAGATCTGTCCTTAGCTCTCTGGGGGTTTATCTGCATCTGTAGAATTACCCGAATCAGAGTGTAAATGGGTGTGGAACCTTCTTGGGACTGCTGAAAGGACTGAGTAGTAAACAGGAGATACGTGGTGTCATACCCCTTCACCATGGTTGAGGGAGGGCTCTTCAGTTTTAACATAGATGGCCTCTTTGAACCCTCTTTCAAACTATCATCCTCTCTGTCCAGAATATGAACTTTGCTGTCTTCAAAAGAGTGACCCCTTTTCTTTCAGACGCAGATGGACTGCTCAACGGAAGGTCATGAAGACTTAATGCATATGCACGGATTTTCTTTGTTTGCAATATTTATTGACTTTCACATTATAAGACTTGGGCAGTTTACAATTAGATAGAAACAGAACCAATACAGCACATTAAAATACCAAGATAAATGTCGTCAAACAGCCAATTAGGACCAAAACATGATAGAATAAGAAAAAGATTCTGCTGGTTTGCAGAATGCAAGGAGGGAGATGCTACATATACATGTCCAGAAAAAGTGTATTTCATAAGTCAGGGGCCACTGCAGAAAAAGTCAGCCACCTGATCCAAGTCCCATATACTTCCTATGTATATGGTAGTGGCTCTCAAGGGGTAGTAAGAAGCATGGCTCTAATGAGTAGAATCAATTTTGTGATTTAATTCTGTGTCATGTTATATAGGGCTTTGTAAGTATCCAACACATAGAATTTGGCTTCTCTCCTTTATTTTGGCCTTTTTATGGTGGTGGTTGTTGCTGAAAAGTGCCTTGCTATTTTGCCACTGAATTCCAGAGGCATTTTTTTTAAAGTAATCAGGAGGTTGTAAACCTCAGTTTACCCATGGGAGACTTCACTGATTGGCTGCTAGGCACCCAGAAATCTATCCAGCAGTCCCAATCTATCATACACAGAGACCAGCTATAAGCCTGCAACATTCACCAATGCCCTTTCCTCATCTCTGTCGCGGAGGTGGGGAAATTCGAGAGCTGAGAGCTGCCCTTGAGTGATATTAAGCAAAGAAGTAACTTCACTCAAGGGCCTAGGTCCCATTCCAAGGTAGGGGTTTTGATTTTATTGTATTGCTGGGCTGCTGCTTGTTATTCCTAGTGTCTTAAATTTAAGCGAAACTTTATGTACCCGCTTTTAATTATTTTGCTCCTCCAAATGAGAATTTTTTTTCAGGGAGTTTGCAGCCCAATTTAGGAATGCCACTTATTGAAGTCATAAGAGCCATAAAAGAAGGAATTTATGGCCACATACGGACCCCGATCCCGACAGGTTTCACCCTTCCTTTCTTAGAAGTCCATTTACTGTAATGCAAGTAATTCTAAATTCCTATTTTCCTCCTTGGGCCTCACACCTAAACTTGTCCTTGTTGCTTTCTTCACCTTTGGTAGGTCCATGATGTGCCCATCTCAGAGAGTGACCTGGAACGTGAATGTAGAATCCAGCTGGGAAAACTGTGCAAAACTCAGCCTAAATTCCAGTACAGCTCAAAGCAGCGCCTTTCTGGTGCAAGGGCCATCTTTGACGTTCAGCAACTGGAGGATGCACAGAATAATAAGACAGAGAAGGAAATTCACTCACATACTTTCCACATCCCCAAAATCAAGGTAGACCCACCTCCATCATCCCCAGAGGAGCAGAAGAGGGCCACAGAGATGCAAGGTCAGAAAAAAGAGCAGAAAAGGAAGAAGCCCGACACACGGGGAAAGACTTTCCATGCCTTTGAGCATCCCAGGGGTAGAAGGGAAAGAAAGCTAGAACCAGAAGCCTCAAAGTGCAAGTCGTCTTTTTACTTGGAGGCATGATTCTCACTCAGGGCAGAGAAGACATGGAACTCTGGGACAACATCATGCAGCATTTTCTCACTGCCCTGCTCTGGTTAATGGATGAATTCAGGAGCTTCGACATAGCCTGAGTTGAAGGCAATCCTAAATTTCTAGCAAAAATGGGTTTCCTAATTTAGGAGCTTCCTCTTTCCGAAGCCTTTACCTATAACCCTGCTTGAACACACACACCCCCACTCATTTTGGCATAGTGTCAGAAGGAGTATCCTTGATAATTTGGAAACATGGTAGCTCTCATTTAGCAACTGCCTTGGACAGAAAGCGGTGATGAAAAAGTAATTGTGTGGGAATCTTTGCAGAATCTGTAAAGCAAAGGAAAGCTGAAGTAAAATTGTAAAATTGTGATGTTTTACTTAGTGACTGCTTTGCTCAACAACCAATTTGCTGGTCCAAGTTCTGGTCACTGAACAAGGACTATTTGTGTGCTACACCTTTCCATCTATTTTTGCTGTGGATGTTGCAATCTAAAGTTCAGGCCTGGCAATGAGGGGGAAAAAAGAGGAAGAACTCTAAGATCTTGGATGAATGAAACCTAATTTGAAATACATTGTGTTTAGTATTGCTCCAGGCTTTGAGGTATTTGGCACCTTGATTCTAAGGGGGTAAAATTTATTGCACATGTGTACATAAACCAGATTCATGTGAGTTAAAGAATTTAACTTTATTAAACATTCCTAGATAGGTCCAATAGACCTATCATAATATGTAATGATTAATTAGTTTCATCTTTAAATATCGTAGTAAGAAGTGTATTTACCATTTTTAATACATGGACTCATTGATTTTCCAAAACTGGATATTCTAATTTTTCCTTCCTTAGATTCAATATATAAATAATGCACTTTTCTTTCATTTTTTACTACCTTATAAAAATGAATTCTTGATATTCATTTGACTGCAGCCTCTCTTAATGAAGCTAAAATAACACATATCATGGAGGCTGGCAAAGTTTTCAGGACATATTTTTAGTTAGTATACATTTTAGTTGAGTATATTGCCAAGAATATATTGCAGATAAGCCAAACTCAAAAGACAATCTCTCAAAAAATTTAAAACAGCCATTGAAAATCAATTGATTTAAAATATTAAGCCATTATTTAGCCCAGGTATTCAAACAGAACCTCTTCCTTGCTATTTTCAAATTTGAGTTCTACCACATCAAGTTATCATGTGATTTGAGATCAAATCACAACTGCTTACCTATTAATAACCAAATATGTCTAGCAGCTTTCAAAGCTGGACATGATCCTGATTTAATATACCTATATCAGATATGTCAAACACAAGGCCCGGGGGCCAGATGCGGCCCGCAAAGTGGTTTCATGTGGCCCGTGAAGCCATCCTGGAAACAGTGAGGGAATGGCCCCCACTGCCTTGGCCTTGGCCCAGGCCAGCGGGAGCCAATATATAATTTTGTGGTGGCCATCTTGGCACTTGCCTGGTGGACCGGGCCTTGGCACTTGCCCAGGTCCTATCCCCTTCTGCCAGAGGCTCTCAGATCTGTCCCACTCCTGCCCAGGCCCCCATAGACACCCTTGACGCGAATGATGTAGAACTGGTCATACCCACCCAATAGGCCACACCCACTCCATCCACGCCCACCCAGTAGGCTGCACTCACTCTGGGCACACCCACCCAGGCCCCCCAGGGCAATCGCAAAGCTGATGTGGCCCTCAGTGAAATTGAGCTTGACCCCTGACCTAGATCCTAACACCTGCCAAGATTTCAGGGATGATACACATTTGCTTTCCAAATCAGTCCAGAAAAGGAAGTGAATACAATAAGTCTTATTCCAGAAAAAAAATGTTAAGATAAAGGCTCAATAATACAGTTGAAAATCTGCTAGGTTATAGCCATAAGATAACTGCACTTTGCCCAAATATATTTTTGAGACTTAGAGAAGAAACCAATTGTTCAACAACCAAATTAAAAATCAGACTGATCTGAAATCCATGGCCGAATTCATCTGCAAGGCTTCCTCCCATTAGTCACAAAGAAAATGATCTGCAGGCTATCCAATTTATTTGGAATTACTGCTCTGGACTCAAGTAAAGCCGCACAGGTGGTATTAAACACTGAACTTGAGGTTAGAGGTGAGGATCAGAGAATAAAAGTCCTACGAAGTTGCAAAGCCCCATCCATTTCGCTAAGCTGATCACAATTCCCAGATGGCTAATATTCATTTTACAAAGAGCATAACAGAAGAGACCAATATTCTGTAATAACTGAAACCTTTGCTATCCATGTGAAATGAATGTGTGTAAGAGAGAGGTCAATAGGAACATATATCTGCTCTAATTTTCCTTTCCTCTAGTGATTTAGGATTACTCCTCTTCAGAATCTCACTTGAGGTCCTTTCTTCTAACCCTGGGGACAGCGAAAAAATTATGCCAGCACATTTTTCACTGTGTTCATCACCGAAACCTATTCAGCTCAGTCACAAGCAGCTGCATCTACAGAGAGGTTCAGAAAAGTCACAATGGCAGTTGTGGTCATACAATCAGAGCCCCACTCCTTTTCGTACAAATGTCAATCGTGTGTGTATGTGCAAAAGGATGAAACTTCAGTCACATGTTATGATCCCTATTTTGAATTTTTTGACCCCTTCTCTCAGATACTTCTGGTAATAAGGGCAGGGGGTAGTTGTCCCCTCATATTTCTGTGGAGAGTCTCAGCCATCCAGGTCATCGTTGTCTCAAAGGTGTTTTTTTTTCTTCAAAAGGCAACTGGACTGTTTTTTCCTTGAGGAAGAAGAACAAAACATTTCGCTTCATCAGTTCTGACGAACTGGGGAAGGGGGATGGAAGGATAGGTAACTGACAGTTGAGATACATGCTGCTTGTAGTATGGAATAAATTAAAGAAAGCAAATGATGGAGCCTCTGGCTTTGTTTCCTTTCTCAGCAGGTGTCACCAACAGGTTGGGCAAAACAACCAGAAATTAGTCTCTTGAGCATGGTCTGGCTGGGGAGAAGGTCAGTTTTGACAGCAGTGATATATTTATTTCAGAAAACTTGTTTTGGTTTTGCACATGTGTGTGGCAAGGGAATCTGTAAGCAGTCATCAGAATGCATAAACAAACTTCAGGGGTTAATTTTTAGCAAGACCACATGCAGAAAACGGGGATAAAAAGACTTTTTGCAAATACCAGCTGGCTGAAGTTTAGTTGAACCAACTATCAGCTTCACTGATGATGAATGATTATCTATGGAAAACGTATGTGCTAATAACTGTGGGTAGGTGTTTGGAAGCAAGGCAAAGTATGTGTGGGAGCAACCATAAGTCCATTGGCACTTGGACTGAAATCTATGATGCCGTTAAGTGGTGGAACTCTTTGCTTATGGATAATCTGAAGGGTATGAAAGCTGCAAATAAGAGGCAACCCTCTTTGGCTCAACATGCTAATTCAATTCCATCAGAAAAACAGAACAAAACAATTTCCAGAAACCCCCCCCCCCAGCATGCTCAAACTCCCAAGACATCTGGAACACACAGCTTACAATCATCAGAACCTTCCCTTCCCCACCCACATTCCTATCCTGAATGGTGGCTGTCAGCTGTCACCTAGGGAGAGAAACAAAACAAGAGTAATCATTTTACCTAACATGACTCAGACTCAGACAGGACACAGACATAGAGACACTCAAACCAGGATACTACCATTTGCTGCCAATAAAGAGCAGAGGTAATAAAGGTAGGATGGGGATCATAAGTAGGGATTGCAAATGTTGTGTCCATATAGGCACCTGGCTGAGGAATTCTGGGAGTTGAAGTCCACAAGTCATAAAAGGGCCAAGTTTGAAGACCCCTGATATAGGTTTCTGCTGACTCAGGAAGTAGCATTTTAACTCAGCAATGGGGAAAGATCCTCACTAAAAGGTGATTGGTTCAGTGTTGGCTTAGCATGTTGTATAAATCCAGCTCTTAGGTCCCAGCAGGTGAGAAAAACAATAGCATTTCAGGCCCTCAGATCAGGCTAATATCTGCTATGAAAGTCCAAGGAAAAACATTAAGTGTGGTATCCAAAACCAAGTAGAAATCATGAAAGTCATTGCAAACAGAAATATCTGCTAGGGGGAAGGTTTTAGGACAGCTGTGGTTTCTGTATTCTCAGGAATTGTGGGGAAATAAAAAATATTCTCACCCACAATTTACACAGAACTGTGCAGAGACACAAACAGGACAACCTCTGAGGAAGACATCTAGTTCCTGCTGCTTAGTATGAGAATGAGGAAAAAGAGAAGGAGTAATGCTATTGTAAAAGTAATGTATGCTGTCTATTTAACCTGTTCAACAATTTCTTACACAAAATACATTTTCTATTGGAGGAATGGTGTATTCTGAATGGATGCATTATTAAAACAGATCACATCTAGTATTACTTTAATAGCATGTCTTGACTATTAACAAAGACAATTATTCCTGGAAGTAGTAGCAATTTTCATCTCCTATTCCACCCATTTTCCATGCTTTGGAAGAATATTAACATGCTTCCTAAGGCTTTGCTGTCCTGTCAGATTACAACAAAAGAGATCCTACAGAATGCTGACAAGGCAGTCTCCATTAATCCATTTCTCTGCCTCTCCTGAAACCTCCACTTTACAGATTGTAGTAGTGCTCCAACAGGATTAAGTCCACCCCAAAATTTACATAACATTGGAATTATTTGAGTCCACAGCAGGTGGAGACAATGAGAGGTGATCAGTCTTATGCTCTTCTAGTTATATTTAAATAAGAGCTAACCAAGAATAGAGACCAAATTTCTCCAGTGAGTGCATCACATTGACAGATCCGAGTTCCTAACTGATTACATCTCCTCTCTAAATGTATAATAATTCCAAAAATTGGCTGCTTGCAGTTGGCTTTTCTCCAGCACTCTGTTCCTTGTAGCCTTTCCTTTGGTCTCCAGGAAACCATAGCAGCGCTTGTCCTAAACTCAAAAACACATCATATTGATCAGAAGCATTGGGGCATAGCTCATTACTAATGCAGAGTTAAGCTGCAGACATGATAGAGTTGAAGGAAAAGTCTTTATAAGGGTCCAGTCCAAGCTGGGAATAAACAGCATGGCGACTGCTTTAGAAAGAAGGTTGTAGTTTATTGAAGAGGAGAACCAGACAGAAAGATGGCTCTGGAAGAAAAGAGACCACATGTAGTAGGGAGTGGGTTTTTATACCTTCTTGGGCTTTTATTTGGAGTTGTTCCTGTGTCATGAACTTTGACTTGAGTCTGAGTGTGCCTTTTTGGTATTCTGATGGTGGTGGGTTAATCTTATTATGTCCTGTCTTAGAGTTTGGGTGGGGTATGTAGATTTTAAGGGTCTTTGTCTTCCTGATCTCT